ACCAAGAACAGAGGCCACAGCACACACACCCCCCATTTCCAACTGCTTGGCATGGGAGGCAGCCAGCCATGTGTGCCCAGGAAGTGACAGGGAACTGGGCAAGGAGGGGGAGGGTATTGCCACATTCAGGGGTGACGGTTCCCAGGAAACCACAGACACAGATCCTTAGGAGCCAGGAGCCATGTTAGGGATGAGGGGTGGTGGCAGGATGCCAGGGGTGGGAGGGAGTCCAGCTTACTGTTGGAGAAAGCAGACAGAAGGCCATGTTGGAAACATCTCCAAAGGGCCTTTGGGGGGGCACTGACACCCTGTCCCACTGGCAGATGGCAACAGAGGGTGGAGGAGAATTGCCCCCAACTCGGTTTCTCCTCCTCTCCACCCCCCCCGCCCCCAGGATCAGCGAAGTGGAGCCCAAATACTACGCTGACGGGGAAGATGCATACGCCATGAAGCGGGACCTTACCCAGATGGCCGATGAGGTGAGTCCAGTGGGGCCAAGGCCACCGGCCCCAAGCAGGCTGAGCGGGGTGGCCTGAAGGAGTTGGAGGTGTCCTGGTCCTCTTCACCTCAGCTGACAGGTGGGGAGCCGGACCTTGGCGGGGCTTTAAAGAAGGCTGTCATTGGGCCAAGACTCCATTTTCTGAGGAGGAGGCCTGTCCTGCCCAGAGGCTGCTGTGACAGGACAGTGGGGAGGCATCTGGACGTGCTGAGGCGCGGGGCTGGGGATGGCTGCGGCTGGCTCCAAGGCTGAGGAGACAGTCAGGGTTCTGCCCAAGGCTCCACAGGGGCTGGGGCCATTCAGAGGGCTCCACAGCAGCCGCGTGAGGGCGTATGAACACCTCCACTTCACTGAAGAGGAAACAGGCCCAGAGGGGGCAGTTGCCGGGACTAGCCCTGGGTCTCCCAACGCAGTCCTATGTTTCCTGCCCTGCCTGCCCCGCCCCCCAGCAAGGGACCAGAAACAGGCCTTGGGAGCAGACCCTCGTGGTCTAGAGACTTAGGCCCTGTCTCCTTCCTCCCGCCTCTCCTGGGCTTCTGGTGGCAGCTGAGGCGGCACCTGGAGCTGAAGGAGAAGGGCAGGCATGTGGTGCTGGGCTCCATCGAGAACAAGGTGGAAGGCAAGGGCAACTCGCTTCCGAGCTCAGGGGAGGCCTGTCGTGAGGAAAAGGGCCTGGTTGCGGAGGACAGCGGTGGTGACAGCAAGGACCTCAGCGAGGTCAGCGAGACCACAGAGAGCACCGACGTCAAGGACAGCTCAGAGGCCTCTGACTCGGCTTCCTAGAGCCCACACCTGCTCCCCTCCCTGTCCTGGCCTGCCCATCCCATCCTCACCGCAAGAGGTTTCACAATAAACTTCACCCAGTGGCCTTGGGGAGTTCACGTGTGCGAGTGTGCACCTGTTGGGTGGTGTGTGGATGCCCCACTCTGGCTCTTGTGTTCCTCTGGATGTGGACCTCACAGCCTTTTGGCACAGTGTGTCCTGCAAGCCCTCCTAGAAGGGAAGAGCTTTGTCAGGGCTTTGGAGAGGTCTGATGGCTTGGAGCCATCTTTGGGTCTGGGAGGGTGGAGGAAAGAGACTCTGGAGTTCTGGAAGCCTTCTGAGCCTTGCTGTGCTGCTGCCCTGCCAGGCTCCAGATGTGGGAGTTCAGCTGCTCATTGACCTTATCTACCATCTCAGTAGTGACCCAACCAGCTCCCCAAGCCCTGGCAAGTGTCCTTGATTCCTCCCTCCCCTGCAAACTAAAAGATCTGCCAATTTTGTGTGTTTGATCACTGTGATACCCCTTGAATCTCCTTCCTAACGGTTTTAGATTCACAGAGGTGAGCAGATAGTACAGGGTTTCTGTGGATGCACGCCCCCCCCAATTTCCACTATTAATAACATTTTGACCTTTCTTTTTTCTTTTTAATTGGAGGCTAATTACTTTATTATAAATAACATTTTGTATTCTTACATTTGACCCAATACTGATACATTATAACTATAGTTCAGGGTTTACATTTCCTTCTGCATTGTACACTCTGGGTTTTGACAAATAACATCATGTCATTTCATGCAGAATGCTGCTGCTGCTGCTGCTGCTAAGTCGCTTCAGTCGTGTCCGACTCTGTGCGACCCCATAGACGGCAGCCCACCAGGCTCCCCAGTCCCTGGGATTCTCCAGGCAAGAACACTGGAGTGGGTTGCCATTTCCTTCTCCAATGCATGAAAGTGAAAAGTGAAAGTGAAGTCGCTCAGTCCGACTCTTCGCGACCCCACGGACTGCAGCCCACCAGGCTCCTCCGTCCATGGGATTTTCCAGGCAAGAGTACTGGAGTGGGGGTGCCATTGCCTTCTCCATTCATGCAGAATAGAAGCCTAAAATTTGCTCCAGTACCTTTCATCCCTGCCATTCCCTCTGGCTGCAGCACCATTGTTTGCTGCCCCTCCTCCCTGGGCGGGCTGCCTGGGCCGCCCACCTCCCAGCGGAGCTCAACACTCCTTACCTGTCACTACCTTATGCCCCTGCTACCGCAGATGGCACACTGCTCTCCTGCTACGCTGAATAATTCGCTACCAGAGGTTGGAGCTCCTGTCTCTCTCTGGCTGGCGCCTGCCACGTGATCAACAGGCAGCCTGGTAAGCGGAGACCAGTGGGCGGGTCGGGAATTGGAAAACGCGCCTGCGCGGGCCTGTGCGCTGCCGCCGGCGAGGGGGAGGGAGGCCGTGTTCTGATGGACTCAAATTTCTGCCTCGCTCCGCCTTTCGCGCCATCAGTCCCTTTCGATTCGCCTACGGAGCCGGCTTCGTTCCCAGGCTCTGATTGGTCCGGCGGCGGCTGGGCCGGCTCCGCGCGGAGGGCGGGGCGGGGCGAGCGGTGGAGCATGCGCATTACCTCAGCCGCGCCCCAGCGCAGGCGGGCGGGAGCCGGTAGAGGCTCCCACGGCCCCTTGCGGGCCTCTCCTTCCTCCCTCGTCCGACCCGCGCTCTCCCCCACCCCCCCGCGCCCTGCGGCCCAGGCGGGCCGGTTGAAGCTCGGCCGCCCCTAGGCGGTCGGGTTTCCTGAGCGGAGGCGGGAGTTGCGGCGAGGGCAGAGGGCAAAGAGGGGAAGCCGCAGGCCCGGGTGACCCTTGGGGCCCAGCACTTCCTCCGCCTCTGCAGGACTCGCCTCGGGAGCGGTCGCTTCAGGGCCATCGTGCCCACCTGAGGCCGGAAGGCTGGGGGTGGAAAAGCAGGAATGCCTGCCCTCTAGCCGTGGGACTGTGGGTGGGTTCCGGGGAAGTTTTCCCTGGCATGAGCCTATACACCGAGGTGCACAACCTGACGTAGGCACCTAGTAACAGCCTCGCCACCGATCTCATCTCCCTCTGGTCCATTCTCCGCGTAGCAGACCTGACCCCGCCTCCTCCCGGACCAAATATTCACTCGCCAACCGGTTTAACAGATCTGGTCCTGCACGGATGTGGTCCTGCCCTTCTGAGCAGTTTAGATCCTCCGAAGTGGAACAATAGAGCTGAGGATAGAGCGGGCAGTACGGCCTTAAATGCCAAAGAAGCGTTTGGCCAGTACTAGCAAAATTTTACACCAGTGGCCGAATGGGGCATCACGTGAATATTTCTGGAGTGATAAAGCAGAAGGAGAGTAGGGGCCGAGGCCAGTTGAGCAGCCGTTTCTTGCGGGCTTGAGCCCTGTGCCTGGCTCTGCTGAATGGGGGAGGGACTTCGGGGGACCAGTCAGGGCTCAGATAGAGGGGAAGGGGCAAGATGTGTTCCATCCAGCTCCCAGGCCCAAAAGCCCCAGTCCCTGGTGCACATACTGCACCTTAGGGAAGGGCCTAGACACTGGGGGTGGGGGGCAGGGAGCTGAGAAGGTATGTTTTCCCCTTCTGGGCAAGAGAACTGGGCACGGTTGAAAGCCAGGAAGTACCTGTGCAAAGTCTCCCTTGCAGAGCTGCAGGTCAGGGTCATGTGTGCCCACATCTGCACAGAGCCTGACTTTGAAGTCCATGTAAACACATGCCTGGACCCCTTGCACAAGTGCCCACAGGCTCCCCTTCCCTGGGCACCACCCCAAAGCCTAAATACTTCTGCTACCCTTGTCACCATCTGTGTATCCCAGGGATTTCTCTAACATGGTTGTCTACTCCGCTTTGTCACTTGCTAACTGCATCCTGCCTTAGTATACCAGAGAAACACTGTTGCCCTCTGACTTTGAGTTGCTAGAGAGACGTGAAGCATCCCTAGATAAGAGAAGCTCCAAGCTGCCCCCCAGGCTCAGTAAAGCCCTGTTCCGAGGGTTCAGGAAGAGGGCTACCCCTCCCCAGCCCCCCAGGCCTAAGACAGAGCAGGTGTGAGATGCAGGGGAAAGGAGACAGAAGAGTGTCTTCCGGTAGCAGGAAGTGGTAACCACCTATGGGGAAACAAGGCTGGTTCCTCTCTATGGGGCTAAACAGAAGGGGAACATTAGCCTAGCCCTACCCTCTGCCCCTGCCCCCACCCCACCATGTGGCCTGGAGGGACCAAGGACAGGTTCTGGTCTCCCCTGCTGACCTTCCTTCCCCCCGGCTCTCCTAGTGTTGGGAAGGGTGGGCCCCATTGAATATCCTGGGAGTCTGGGGAAGGCAGCTGACCCATGGGAGCCCAGCGGTCAGGAGCAGCTTATGGTGTTGCTGCACACTGGCATTGATGGCTAATGGCCATGATGTGAGGGGTGCAGTCTGGCAATAGGGACCACAAAGCCCTCTGGAGTCTGGGAGGGAGCGGCAGCCAGAGGATGCCAGTTTGTCAGGCACCTTGGGGCTCTCACAGCTACCCTGGCTGCTTAGCAGCCGAACCTGGGGCACAAGGCTGCCCGAGGGCATGCCCCGTGTGTGGGGGGGGGCGGGGGAAGCAAGGTCCAGCTGCAGTGAGAACCACACCAGGCCGAGACCCTCGTGGGCAGTGCCAGGCCCAGGGCGCCCCGCCCCAGGAGCCGCGTTGAGGATGGGACGGGGCGGGGCGGGATGGGGCGGAGCTGGCGCAGGGTGCTGGCTGCCGGGCCCGCGGGTCCCCGCGCCTGGCCCGCTCGCGGCCGCGTGGGAGCAGCTGGGTTTGACGGCGTGGCCACCAGGCGACCATGGCTACGCACGGGAAGCTACGCCGAGAGCGAGGGCCGCAGGCTGACTATGAGGCGCAGGTCAAAGGTGAGAGGGCGTTGGGCGCTCCTGGCCTGTTTCCCAGCGGAGACCCCAAAGGTCGTGGGAGAGCCCGCAATGTGCTGGCCGCTGGCCCGGGACTCGCGGCCCACCCCCAACAACCTCAGGAGCGTGCTGAGGAAGGGAACCCGAGCCCCCTGCCTGCCTCTTCACACCCCTTCAGCCTCAACCACCGCTGGTCCCACTTCCTTCCTCCTTCCCTCCATTCCTGCCCTGGTGGCTCTGCTCTCCTAGGTTCTCCCTGCCCCTCAGGAGCCCGAGGAGGAAAGGGAGGGGCACCTGATGGCCCTTAAAAAGTGGCATTCTAGCCACCAGAAAGTGAAACACCTTGACTTTGCTGAAGGGGGCTGGGTAGGGGGGTTCGGGGGCTTCAGTGGGTGAATTAGTGATGGCTTTACCCTAAGACCACTCCAGTCCTGTAACCCAGTCCCAATTGCCCTTCTTTGGGCCCTGAGGTGGCTTTGAGTTGAAGGCCACTGTCTCTGGGTCCAGCTGGCACAGCGGAGGTGGACTGCAGAGCAGACCTCTTTGGGTTCTGATAAACACTCTGTGCAAATCGCATGTAAATGAGCCTTGCAAACTCTTAGTCGACAGCTTGTCTCTGGGTCTTATTCAGGGTGTGGTGGCTCTTGCAAAGGGAAGAAAGCCACATCCAAGCACCAGCAGTTTCCTGGTGTCTCAATCACTTGATTTTACCAACGAAGGAGACGCAGCTCAGAGCGTGCTCATGGTCACACAGCACCATAGGTCCTAGGAGGTGTAAGGAAATGAACCTCGAATGTTCTTCCAGTCCAGAGGTGGAAAGTCCAATGTAATTCTGCGATACAAGCAAATTGCACTAAAGTGTGCGCGAGTCCTTCCCGTCTGGTAAAGGTGGGCTGCTGTCCAGACCCAGCTTGATGTGACTGTGCATGGCAAGCCTGCTCTCTAGGCCTTGCTGCATCATCCCTCAGATGGAGAGAGCGATCCCAGCCTGTATCCCCCAAACGTCATGAAGCTGAAGGACTTTGGAAACCCTTCAATCAGCAGATATGTGCCAGTTCATTCACACCGAAAAGATTGGGCTTTGAGCAAGGCTGTCTTTAGATGTTCCTCGCCTGCTGTGGGCATCTAATGACTTGAGCTTCTGTTTCCCATCTCCTCCACCCTCCAGCCCCCGCCAAAGAAACTTCCTACTATGCTACAAAAAGAGGATCAGTATCTCGACACCCGAAATTCTGAAAGGTCAGCACAGTCATGGTTTGGGAGGCTGTCTTTTCTGCTTTGCTTGTCAGCAGAAGTGAGACTGAATGCCTCGCTCACAGGAAGTGTTGTTGGGGCCCAGTCTCGGCTCAGCAATGCAAGCAGACGTGGATTCCATCCTTTTGACAGATGTTTTGTACGTGTCGGTTCTCTGCCAGGCCCTGAAGATACAGCAAGGAGCACCCGAGAAGCCATCCTTGTTCTCATATGGCTCACGGTGGAGGAGACATATAGTAAACAACTTATCACACAACTTGTTTCAATTATGATGAAAACCACTGTAAAGAAAAAGCTCAGATGTCCAGAAAGTGGATGGGAAGAAGACTAGACCTAGTTTATGGGGAGATCCGGAAGGGTTCCCTGATGAGTACACCTCAGCTAAGATATGAGAGCCGGATGCTGCTGCTGCCTAGAGCCTGGGGATTTAGGTAGGTGCCAGCTGTGCTCAGACCCTGCCGACTCACATCTGCTTGACACCAGGTCTGCTGGATCTCAACCAAGGCTTGGTTGCACTGAAAAAGAAATGAACACTTGGCTGTGCTGGCCTGTCGAGCACTACTCACTTGTGATAGGTCCCCAGGGAACTGTTGTTCCAGGAGGGCAAGCAGAAGCCAGTGGACAGCAAGGCGAGCCAGGACATCTCAGCTCTTTCTTGGAATGAAGTGAAACTGACTTTTATCCGAAAAAATGTTGCCGTGATTCAGTGAAGAATCTCATGATCGCAGGTGGCTGAGAGCCCACTCCAGTCGGCCCATGGAGTTCAGTCGGCCCCTGGGACCAGGCCTCAGACAGTGTAAGGAGACAGCGTTGGTTTCAGCATCAGGAAGCAGTTCCACCCCCCCCCCCCGGCTTCCATTAACCCAACTTGACTCTTCTGTGGAAAGAGAGTGCTCCCATTCAGTGTTTGCAGTGAAAGCATGGGCTTCGTGGCCCTCGGGCCTTTCACTGAGCTAGTCCCAGCGGTGGAGGGGGGTGAAGGGGCCACATCTGGGGTGCCTGGAGCCAGGGAGATGGACCCAGGGGCTGAGAGTAGGAAAGGGACCTTCTCCAATGGGAAATCAGAGGAGATGGGAGTGCTGGGCAGGCAGGACCCATGGAAGCTGCTGCAGGCCCCACAGAACTCCCTGGGATGGCACTGATGGGACAGAAGTCCCAAGTGTACCAGTACCGAGTCCTTATCCACAGCCAGCCTGGGTCCTGCTGCTTCCTGCCTCCTCTCATTCTGGCTCCTGGCTGAAACCCCCAATTTTCTATTGCCTAGACGGGTGCACTGGTGGCCACTGGGGCTGGGCACTTTTCCTTTGTCACCTGATCCCTGCCCAGGCTCTTCACAGCAGCCCATGTGGGCCCTGAGAGCAAAGCAGGACCCTATAGCTCCACTGCTGCAGCTGCTCTCCCTTGCTGTCTTCCCCCTGCCGCCCCCCACTGGCATGGCTCTCTTCAGCCATGCTGCCTGCAACAGCCTTCACAGTGCCGTCTGCCTGAACATTCTTCCCCCGGATGTCTCCACGGCCCCTCTGTCACTTCCTTCAGCTCTTGTGTTCCAAAGCTGCTTGTTCCTGACCACCTTCCTCTAAAAGAACCCCTCCCTGCCACCACCTCCCGCTCTGCGTTGTCACCCCTTGTTCCCCTGCTGTCCCCCCCACCACACTGTTCCCATCCCAGCTCCAGGAGGGCAGGAAGTGTGTCTCCGAGTCTAGACCCACTGAGTGTATAATCAACATGCTGCTGAATGAAGACATCAGTTAATGTCCCTCCCCTGCCCGGCATCTGGACAGCTGTTAGTACAGGGGTGACCCACCTGCCAGAAGCCAAGATACAGGGCTTCTGTCCCTGGGATGCCCAGGGCTTACCAGTGGCTTACTTAAGCTCGTCATTCTCATTGAGGCGGTTCTTTGCTTTGGGTCTGCGTGGGGAAAGCGGCATTGCCAAATCAAGCCAGCGATAAGGTGTCACAAGCCAGCAGTGTGGGGACCCTGGGTGTGGCTCTCTGCCGAGAGGTGGTATTAGGGAGCCCTGGAGGTGGGTCATCGGGAGTTGGTACTGGGAACAGAAATCAGCCCCGTTGCCTCAGTCCTGTCACTGGTCAGCCCCTACTGGCCAGCCTGGCCCTTGCGGTGGGGCCACCCTTTCTCCTGGGGGCGAGGGCTGGGTTTCCAGCCCCCGAGGCCACAAGTTCATGGCAAGTTTGGCAAGAGTGCCATGACCGCCCCAGCCCTGTGCAGCCCCGTGCGTCCCTGTGTTTGTCGAGGAGGCTGCCCTGCCTGGAGTCCTGGGCACCCCAGGGGCCGGAAGTGGCAAGGGAAGCCACTGGGGGCTTTCTGGGAAGCAGGGAATCATGAGAAGGCCACGTGACTGGTGCCTGGCAGGAATGGACCCCACTCCATCTCAGCCCTGGCTCATGGTCCTGGGAATGGCCTTTCTGTTCCTCGGGCCCTGGCCCACCTGGCTGGTTCCCCTTAGCTTCCGCTCGGAGATCCGTTTCCTCAGGCCCACCCGGAGCCCAGCCAGACTGCCAAGCCCGGAATTGGCCCCTCTCCCCACGGGGCCAGCATCACCTCCCCGGACTCAGGGGGCCCACAGCCCCGGCCTGAGCTGCCCTCCCGCCCTGCAGAGATGCGTTGGCAGCTGGGTGAGCAACTGCGCTGCCTGGAGCTGCAGGGTGAGCTGAGGCGGGAGCTGCTGCAGGAGCTGGCTGAGTTCATGAGGCGCCGTGCCGAGGTTGAGCTTGAGTACTCACGGGGCCTCGACAAGCTGGTGGAGCGCTTCTCCGGCCGTGGAGGCCGCCTCGGGGGCGGCAGTCGGGAGCACCAGAGCTTCCGGTGGGTCCTGGGGCCGGGCAGCTGGGATGGCCGAGCCCGACGCCCGCTCCCGGTTGGTCTGAGCCCCCACCTCCACCCCCCCACCCCCAGGAAGGAGCCATCCCTGCTTTCGCCCTTGCACTGCTGGGCTGTGTTGTTGCAGCAGACACGGCAGCAGAGCCGGGAGAGCACGGCCCTCAGCGAGGTGCTGGGCGGGCCCCTGGCCCAGCGCCTGAGCTACATTGCCGAGGATGTGGGGCGCCTGGTCAAGAAGGCAAGACTTCTGCCCTGGGCCCGGGAGGCGGGTAGGGTAGACCCCAGGATCTAGGGAGGGCAGCCCGTGGGTGCTCAAAGCCCAAGTGTCAGGGACAGGAAGGCCCTGAAGGCTGGGGGGAGCTGGTGGGAGCCTAGAGTGCTGAGCTGAGGGCTGGCGGGATGGACGTGGGTGTTGCCCTGGTGCAGGGTGGCACTCAGCTCACCTCCTCCCCAGAGTAAGGATCTGGAGCAACAGCTGCAAGAGGAGCTCCTGGAGGTGGTGTCAGAGCTTCAGATGGTGAGAGCCCGCGATCACAGGGAGGCCGTCACCTCACCTCTCCCGGGGCCAGGCTCAGGGAGGAGGATCAGGTGCCTGGGAGAGACCTGGGTTTCGGGGATCGCAAGCCAGGCCCTCTCTCCCTGCCCCGGGCGCTGAGTGCTTGGACCAAATGCTCAAGGCCCGAGTCTGAGACAGGCTGGGAGGAGGATGGGGTGGGCTGGCTGTGGCCACGGCCTTGAGCAGGGCTGCCTGGCCTCGGGCCTCCTTGCAGGCCAAGAAAACCTATCAGGTCTACCACACGGAGAGCGTGAGTGCTGAGGCCAAACTCCGCGAAGCCGAGCGGCAGGAGGAGAAACGGGCAGGCCGAAGTGCCACTGCCGCCACCACCAGCACCGAGTCTGGGCCACTCCGCAAGGGCTCCATCAAGAAGGGAGGGCGGCTGGTGGAGAAGGTGGGCCTGGGGGGCACCTGTCTGTGTCCAAAGGCTCTGGCTCCTGGCCTTTGTCTTTTCACGTCCTCAACCCTCACTGGGCCATGCAGGGAGGTGGTGTGTGGGTCAGGAAAGCAGGGCTGGCTCTGGGGGGGGGGTGTGGAGGGGGGCTCCCTGGGCTCAGTTGGTAGACACAGGGGGCAGGAGAACAGTCTCTAGGCCCAGGACAGCCCACATTCTCCCCTCCCTGCAAACCCAGCTGGCCAAAGAGCGATCCCAAGCCTGGGAGTCCTGCCTCCCACCCATCCTCACCTCACACAGTGGTGGGAGATAGAGGAGTGAGGAGACACGTTGGATGGGGGGCTGAGTGATCAGCGGGGAGGACACGTGTTTGAGATGGTCCCCGAAGGAAGGATGGGGAAGTGGAGGCTATCAGGGTTTAGGAATGAAGAACCTTTCAACTTCTGGGCTATATAGTTTGAGGGGTCCGGTGGGATAGTGGGGGAGCTGTCCGAATGGGGAAGGGAGGGGTGGGGAGTGTGTGTCGAGGGTGGGGGGTACATGGAAGGCAGGGTTGGGGCATTCGGCCACGTGGATGACCCAGGGGCTCATGTGATCCTGAGCAGCGTCACGCCAAGTTCTTGGAGCACAAACTCAAGTGCACAAAGGCTCGCAATGAGTACCTACTAAGCCTGGCCAGTGTCAATGCCGCTGTCAGCAACTACTACCTGCGGGACGTCATGGACCTGATGGATGTGAGTGCGGGGTGTGGGGAGGGTGCGGGGGGGGGGGGGCGGGCTCCCACGTCCCGAGCCCTCCCAAGCCATGTCCTCGCTCGTCCCCCAGTGTTGTGACACAGGATTCCACCTGGCCCTGGGCCAAGTGCTCCGGAGCTACACGGCTGCGGAGAGCCGTATCCAGGCCTCCCAGATGCAGGGCCTGGGCAGCCTGGAGGAGGCCGTGGATGCCCTGGATCCTGTAGGCGACAAGGCCAAGGTGCTGGAGGTGCACGCCATTGCCTTCTGTCCCCCGCTACGTTTCGACTACCAGCCCCACGAAGGGGATGAGGTGAGGGTCGGCTTTTTGTGTTCTGATCTTCACTGTGATGGTAGCTGAGTGGAATGGATTTCCTTCCCTTTGCCAAGACCTCAAACCTCCTGAATGCCACTTACTTCTCAGACCCTCATGCAGTGGCCTCAAGGCAAATGGGGCTCTGGAGTTTCTGCACTTGCATTGTAACAAGCAGACCTCCCTAACCCACTTTTGTGGTACAACCAGTGAACACAGCGCCTCCCCCCGCCACGAGGGCAAACATAGCCAGGATGACAGCAATTTTGAGGCCGGCTGGTTGGTGGTAGACAGCTGCCCGTATACTGTTCTTTTGGTGGTTCTGTGTGCTTTAGATATTTCACAGTGCAAACTTGGGAGAGAAAGAAACCATGCAAACACTAGCATATAACTAGGCATCTTCTTTTTTGGCTGCACCGTGTGGCATGGGGGACCCTAGTTCCCCCACCAAGGATAGAACCTGTGCCCCCTGCAGTGGACCTCCAGGGAATTCCTCACTAGGGCACCTTTTTATGCATCTCTGAGCTGTACTCTCCTTTACCAGTTTATTCTCATGAGCATGGACTGGGATTACACTGGATTGTGCATGGACTTGGGGTTCCACTGACCTTTTTCTTTTTTTGCTTATTTCATTTGTATTTCGACCGAAGTCACATCTGATAAAGTCAAATATTACTCAAGGCGTTCAAGGGCACACTGCCCTTCTCTGACCCACCCTTCCTGTTCCTGATTCCCACTCCCCAGATGCAGCCACTTCCCAGTCTTCTAGCTGCTGCTGCTGCTGCTGCTGCAGACAATGCATCAGGTGCTGCTTGTGCTTTGCAGCTTGCCAGAGGCCCTATGATCCCCTTCCATGGACAGTTAGGGCTCCAGCCCACATCACCATCTGTCTCCACCACACCAGGCAATCTCTTCTCTTCAGAGCCCTGCTATGGAGCCATGCAGTCCCAGCTTGTAGGCCTCGATTGACTTCTAGGCCGGCACAGTCCAGGACCTTTCTTTCCCTGTTCTCCTGAGCATCCCTGCTTTAGACCCTCTGCATCCCAGATTGTGTGTCTTTCTCTGTTTTGGTTTATTACCTTGTTTGCACGGAGATCTTCCCTTGTACTTTCCTGACTTAGACTGTCAGAAAAAAACTGCCTGTATTCTGTTCTTGAAATTGGTTGGTAGTTTACCTGGGGGTAGAAGTCAAGGTTGAAAAGCATTTTCTTTTTGGACTGTTCAAAGTATCCCTCCAAGCTTTCAGTAGTATTGTGGGTGAGAAGTTCAGCCCCCGTTCTGATTTCTGCACTGTTGTCTGTCACCTGTAATTTTTCCCGTTGAAGCTTTTAGGATAGTCCCTTCCCCTCATGTACAATTTTATAATGATATGCCTTGGGGATCCTTTTGCCTTCATGGTGCTGGGCCACTCATGGGCTTTGTCAGTACAGAAACTTAAGTCTTAAGGTTTTGAGCTCATAGTGTTCCTTTGGTAATTCCTGTCCCTTAATTTTCTTTGTGCTTGCTTTCAAGAATTCTTGTAATTGGATATTGAACCTCATGGGTTGTCTAATTTTGTTATCTTTTATCTTTCCTATTTCTCATCACTACACCTTTTATGTTTATTAATACTATTTAGGTATATTTAAAAATTTTATTTATTTGGTTGCATTGTGTCTTTAGTTGTGGCATGAAAGATCTTTCTCTACTTGTGGCATGTGGACTCCAGAGCACGAGGACTCAGCACTGTGGTGCACAGCATACATGTGAGATCTTAGTTCCCAGACCAGAGAGCGAACCCAAATCCTCTGCATTGGAAGGCAGATTCTTAGCCACTGGGCCACCAGGGAAGTCCCATCACTATACCTTCTAATTCTGTTCTCTTAGAGATCTTTTTGACTTATCTCTGCCCACCCCTTTTTAATTTTTCTTAAACATTTACTTTGATAAGTTTTTTTCTAACAGTTTTGGTTTGTTTTACATGTTCTTATTTAAAATAGCCCTTTGTTCTTGTTTCATGGATACAGTATATTCTCAAATTTTTCTGAAATGTTTATCGTTTTTCTTGATATTCCCATGTCCCTTACATTTTTTTCTGTTTGCTTGCGTTGATCTCTGTCTTCCACTTTATTTTAAAAAAAAATTTTTGTGGACCATTTTTAAAGTCTTTATGGAATTTGTTAGAGTATTGCTTCTGTTTTGTATTTTGTTTGTTGACCTTGAGGCATGTGGGATCTTAGCCCCCTGACCAGGGATCGAACCTGCATCCTGTGCATTGGAAGGCAAAATCTTAATCACTGGACCACTAGAGAAGTCCCTATGTCTTCTTCTTTTCTTTTTTTTATGTCTTCTACTTTAGAGCTCTCTCAAATTGCTGCCAGTTCTTGGCTGTCAGTTCCTATTCCCGAGGAGGCACTGAGAGATGGATTAGGTATTTGGTGTGTGTGAGAAGAGCTTGTCAACAGTGGCTTTCCCCACAGGGTGGCTGGGTAGGGAGTTGGAATGTTCTGTGATGCTTGCCTTCAGCACGGGGAACTGGAGGTGTCTCAGCTGCTGGAAGGAACTTCAAGGACTTGGGGGAGGGGCTCGGCTCTCGCTTGGATGCTGTCAGGAGGCAGGGGTGACTCTGATTCTGTGTCTTAATAAATCTTCTCAAGAAGATGGGGCGGAGGTGGGTAGAAGGAGGCTAGAGTGGTCATTAGCAAGGAGGGAAATGCCTGGCATGCTAGCCGGGCCAGCAGGAGGTTTGGTCATTTTTGTGGCTTGGACAAAGTTCTTGTTCTGGTCCGTGCTCAGACGTGCTGATGAAGTGATATTGTTTTTATCTTCAGCCGCCATGGCCAGAGAGTGGCTTTGTGTGATGCTGATGCTCTGTGACGTCCCTTATGTCTGACAGGTCCACGCCGAGACACAGATGGTGGTGGCTGCTGTGCCTGCTCATCAGGACTAGTCTCTGATTTGTCCTTTCCAAAGAGTCAATTTCTCGTGATCTGCCTGTTATGTGGGCTTGAGGGCAGTGGGTCTTCTCATGTCAGCGTTTCCTAGAGCCTGGATAGAAATTTTATAATTGTGGGCAAACATACATGGATTTACCGTTTGGACCTTCACATGGTTGGGCAGCCACCCCCACCAGCCATCCCCCCAACGTTTTCCATCTTCGCTAATAGAAACTCTGTCCCTGTTAGACATTTTAACTCCCCATTCGCCCTGCCCTAGCCCGGGGCCCCCACCATCTGATTTTCTGTCTCTATGAACTTGACTGCTCTAGGCACCTCTTATAAGTAGAATCTTATACTATTTGTCCCGTTTTGTTTTGTTTTGTTTTGGTTTTTTTACAGAAGGCTTATTTAACTGAGTATAATGTCCTCCGGGTTCACCCATGTTGAAACATGTATGAGAATTTCCTCCATTTTACTGCTGAATAATATTCCACTCTATAGAGACACCACCCTTTGCTTATTCACCCATCAGCTGCTGGACACTTGGGGTGCTTCCACCTTTGGGCTATTATGAGCAGCACTGCAAGGACATCCGTGCATAAGTCTCAGTGCTCATGAGTGTATGCCACCTTCCTCTCGGAAGGGGTCCATGCTTCAGATCTGGCTGGACCGGGTGTCAAGGCTGGTGACCCTCTGCAGTGGCCCCCAAGGCAGCAAAAATCAGCCCCGGAAACCTCTGTGCCTGCTACACAGCCCACCCTAGTGTCTCAAGTGCGGCCCTAACCCCCCCTACCTGATGCTGCACCCTGCAGGTTGCTGAGATCCGGGTTGAGATGGAGTTGCGAGATGAGATTCTGCCCAGAGCCCAGAATATCCAGAGCCGCCTGGACCGCCAGACCATCGAGACAGAGGAGGTATGGGGTGGCCTGGCCCCAGGGTGGGGACAGGGACCTGGACACATGGAGCTGGATGGCCGTGACCTCCCCTTCTCCTTCCTTCTGACTCAACCTCCCTGTTCTTCGCCTGTTCCCCATTTCTTCCTGCCCGGGTACCATCCCCTCCCAAGGTGAACAAGACACTGAAGGCCACACTGCAGGCCCTGCTGGAGGTGGTGGCGTCAGAAGACGGAGATATGCTCGACTCCTTCCAGGCCAGTCCATCCACCGAGTCCCTCAAGTCCACCAGCTCGGACCCAGGGTCTCGGCAGGCTGGCCGGCGGCGGGGCCAACAGCAGGAGACTGAGACCTTCTACATCACGGTGGGGAGGTGGTGCTGGACCGGGAGGGCAGGTGGGCAGCGGGGGCCAGGGAGGGCCGGGGCCAGGACTAAAGCCTTGGGCTCTTCCGGGGCCTTGGCAGAAACTTCAGGAGTACCTGAGTGGACGGAGTATCCTTGCCAAGCTGCAGGCCAAGCATGAGAAACTGCAGGACGCCATCCAGAGAGGTGGGCCCCCCTGCCTCGCCACCCCCAGGGGCGGGAGCATCCCAGCCATGGTGTGGCTCTCCTCCTGCGGCTTCTTCCTGGCCAGAGAGTGTGCTGGGCATGCAGGAAGGAAGCCAGCCAGGGTCCCGGCCCCCATCCTGCCCTTTGTCCTGCGGCCGCCCTCACCTGTAGGCTGCCCCATTCCTCTGCCATGCGCCGAGAAACCTCCTGGCCCAAGAGGCACACCAACCCTTTCTCCTTGCCAGGTGACAAGGAAGACCAGGAGGTGACTTGGTGAGTCCTTCGAGAGGGACCAGTTTGTCCTGAGGACCTGTGGTATTCCTACCTCCCTTGTTCCTCGGTGTCCTTAGTTTTCTACTTATTTTGCCCAGAGGGTTCTGGAATAACTTGTGAGCCCCAATGTCCAGTTGGGCTGGGCTGGGGGGGTCTGAGCAGCCTAGTGTCCAGGTCCGCTCCCCTCAGAGGCAGCTCCTGTTCACTGCGACAGGACCCAGTACACACAGAGAAAACTCCAGAAGAGCCGCACCCCCCGCCCCAGTTCCCAGTATAACCAGAAACTCTTCGGGGGAGACATGGAGAAGTTTATCCAGGTACTTGCCTTTCCCTTCAACCGAGTGCAGGCCCCTCCCTGCTTCGGCCGTGCCTCCAGCCCTGGAGCCCCTGTGGGCCTGAACGAGTTACCAAGAGCTGAGGACTTACCAGGATCATGGGTACCCGCAAGCCCCACTTCTGGGATGCTCACTAGGGAGGGAAGCCAGGAAAGCACCAGAGATCAGAAAAGAACAGTATTGTTTGCAGTGATGTGATTCAGTCTCTCACCGTTCAGAAGAGTCAGCAGGTTATTTAAGTGAACAAACCCAAGGTTCATGATGTTGTTTGTTTCGAGGTCAGCAGAGAGAGTTGGGTGGCATTTCCACTCTGTAGCAGGAAACAGATAAAATGTCAGGCATGGCACCAGGGATCAGAAACCCGCCCCCCCAACTGGGCATACATCTCCCTGGCTTTGTTGGTGACCATGGAATGCATTAAGACAAAATGAAAATGAGCGAGTGACAAGGTGGGCTGTGTCATACCCACTGTGGAGGGCACTCTCTCTGTCCTTGTCCGCAGAGTTCAGGCCAGCCTGTGCCCCTGGTGGTGGAGAGCTGTGTCCGCTTCATTAACCTCAATGGTGAGTGAGATCTGGACCCTCCTGCCCCTGGCCTGCCCCCCGACCAAGATTGGAGGGGTGGGGGCAGGAAGGAGGCTTGGTGCACACCAGTTTTCCGTCCTCCCACAGGCCTGCAGCATGAGGGCATCTTCCGGGTGTCAGGTGCCCAGCCCCGGATCTCGGAGATCCGTGATGCTTTTGAGAGAGGTGGGGATGGGCGTTCTGGGGGCTGGGGTGGGGAGCTCAGGGGCAGCCCAGGTCGGGGCGTGGGGATGCCGAGCCAGGAGCTCCGTGCCTGTGACCTGCCTGTATCCCCAGCCTGGCCCAGTACAGCGATGAGAACATGATGGACCCCTACAACCTGGCCGTTTGCTTCGGGCCGACACTGCTGCCCGTCCCTGCTGGGCAGGACCCGGTGGCTTTGCAGGGCCGTGTCAACCAGCTGGTGCAGACCCTCATCATCCAGCCTGTACGGGTCTTCCCGGCCCCAGCCCAGCTGCCCGGCCCCATCTATGAGAAGTGCATGGCCCCACCTTCTGCCAGCTGCTTGGGGTAGGCTCTTGGCGCCACCAGGAGAGAGAGGCTGGCCACAGGGGACACCCTGAGGACGCTCATTTACCTTGCTCTTCTCTGGACTACAGGGATGCCCAGCTAGAGGGCCCGACGGGGGACAACGAGTTGGAGCTGGAGCCAGGGACCTCAGCCCAGGAGGAGGGTGAGGGTGGGGAAGGACACCGGGTCCCTGGCCAGGGCGTCCACGCCACCCCCACCCCACCTCACTTGCATCTCCTCTCCTCCCAGACCTGGAGGGTGTCGTGGAGGCCGTGGCTTGCTTTGCCTACACGGGCCGCACGGCCCAGGAGCTGACCTTCCAGCGTGGGGACGTCTTGCGGCTACACGAGCGGGCCTCGGGCGACTGGTGGCGGGGCGAGCACGCGGGGGCACGGGGGCTCATCCCCCACAAGTATATCACTCTACCTGTGGGGTGAGTTTGGAGGCTCTCCTTCTAGCCCCCCCTCCACCCCCGAGTTTCCAATCCTTCCTGCACACAGAGTCCCAGGTCCCGTGGTCCCAGGCTGTACCTTGCTGACTGCTGGCCTGCACCGTGCCTTCTGCCCTGCAGACCCCAAACCCAGAGTGAGCATTCCAAGTGTCTTGTCTTTCCATCCCCAGAGTGGAGAAGCTCACAGTGGGCCAGGGGCTGCTGCCCGGCGGGGACCTGCTGAGCAGCTCAGAGGGGCTCCCCATGGTGGAGCTTGTCCAGAGGTGAGCAGGAGCGGGGAAGACCCCTTCTGGGCCTTGCTCGCCCACCCCAGGCTGGAGGCAGAGTGGCCAGGGACCAGCCTTGCTGTTTCTTTCCCTTTCCTGTGCCCCAGGCTGGGAGAAACCCCTGCCCTGAAGCGTGGGGCCTCCCCAGGGCCCCCTCTAGGCTCCCTGTCTGTGCCCTGCAGGCCAGAGCCGTGCACCCCACCCGAGATCCCTCTTGGCATCCCCGGGGGTCACTCCGGGCACCGACGGCCCTGCATGGTCCCAGCATCCCCGGAACGACATGTGGAGGTGGATAAGGTGAGTGCTGGGAGTGGTCACGTGGCAAGAGGGGTGCACCTGCCCAGGTGTGGGTTCTCTGCTTCTCCTTATGAGCCACTCTTCCCGCCTGAGGTTCAAGTCTGACCTTCCTGATCGCAGGCACACTGGCTAAGCCCAGCCTAGAGAGGGGCAGGCTGGTAAGGGGGTGAGCTTGGTGGGGAGGGACTGGCCTGGAGGCAAGGTAGTGGGAGACCTGGGGGAGGGTGGTCACACATTTAGGCCTCACGTTTGGTTCCTGAGTGGGAAACGGCACACAGGACAGGCTTTAAGGCTGGCATCTAGAGCCAGGCTAGGTGACAGGTGGTAACATGGCAGGCGCTTTGTGAGCCAAAGAAGATGAAAGGGGCAGATGGAAAAGCAGCTGAGTGAGGTGATGAACTGGGGAGCCTGGTGGGGTCATGGTTCTTAGAGGGGGACAGAGAGCAGGTGCCAGATGGGGGCCCTGGCGTGAGATGCAGCCTGGGGAGACACCCAGCTGCCTTCTGTGCCCACTGGCCCCAGCACACCCCTCCGTGGGATCCTGGTGGGCACTGCCAGAAGCCATGGGAGACAATGTGAGCCTGGGGACAGAGAGTAAGAGAGCCCGCTGTGTCCCAGGTGTGGCCTGGTGACCAGGCCTGGGCACCAGGGACAGAGGGGTGATCGGGGACACACATGTGAGGTGGCCGGGGGAGTATGGGCCAGGGGTGGGGGGCAGGGCGTCCATGAGACCCCAGGGCAGGTGGGTGGTAGGTAGGGCCAGGCGGGCTGTGGGGGAGCCCTGGCCTGGGTTGGGGAAGCATGGGCCAGGGGTGGGGGGCAGGGCGTCCATGAGACCCCAGGGCAGGTGGGTGGTAGGTAGGGCCAGGCGGGCTGTGGGGGAGCCCTGGCCTGGGAGGTCAGGACCTGCTGGGGGCCCCTCAAGCCAGAGGGTGGTGGCTGTGATCTCTGCCAGGGAGAGAGTGGGGAGAGGATGGGTACCCAGGGCCCAGCCCGAGGGGCTCCCATTTGAAGGCTGAGCTAATCACCACAGTCCACAGAGGCAGTGGCTGAGGACTTTGTTTCAGGGGGCAGAGAAGTTCAGAGGGTCAGAGGGCCTGACTCCTGAGTCAGGTCACTGTTTTGGGGGCAGGGGACCGGCTGGGCAGGTGGGGCCCACTTGTGCCAACATCTTGCCTTTCTCTCCTCTCCGCCAGGCTGTGGCACAGACCATGGACTCTGTGTTTAAGGAGCTCTTGGGGAAGACCGCCCTCCGTCAGGGCCTTGGACCAGGCACCAACAACTCCCCGAGCCCTGGGCCTCGCAGCCCAAAGCCTCCAGGCTGTGGGCGCCTGGGCAAGAACAAAGGCTTCTCGCGGGGCCCTGGTGCCCCGGCCTCACCCTCGACCTCCCATCCCCAGGGCCTGGAATCACTCTTCAAGTCACACTGAAGGCCCACCTCATCCTCTGCAGGCCCTGCCCCAGCCCAGGGCAAGACCGGCTGGGTGCCCCCAACCCTTTGCTTCTCCCTGGCCCTGTCCAGCATACCTGCTCGAGACCCTCTGCAGAGAGGAGGAAATGGCCTCTCCAGCTCCCCCCTGGCTTCCCCGCTCTGGTTTGGGCCCCTCTGGGAGGCCGCCGCCAAGGGAGGCAGGGGGCAGGTCCCTCATGGCGCTGGGTGTGAGGGCTCGTGGCTGGTTGTCACCCTTGACAGCCAGCAGGTGGCGGGTGCCTTTGCTCAGCTGAGGGCGCCAGCCTGGTGGGGGTTGACAGGCATTGACTCCCAGATGCAAGCCAGTTCTCTGGCTGGCTGGGGGGGTGGTGGTTGGAAGGTGGGTACAGGGCCAGCCTCTTGGCACCCCCAGCACTTGAGGCCAGGGTGCCCAGCTTCTGGGGCTACTTGGCACAGGGCTTTGTGGTTTGGGGACCTGCACCTTGGAAGTCCCGTCTCCTCTGTGGTAGGTTCCAGAGCCTTGCACACGTCTGTGGTTGTGGGAGGGGCCTGAAAATCTCTCTGCACTTCCCCCACATTTAATGCAATTAAACATGCATGAATTTTTTAAATACCATCCTTGTAGAGAAGGGGAACAAAAAGAAGCAAATATAGAAAAATATGGGAAATCTATTGAAAATGTGTTCATTTCTCTGGTACCCCAGTATTCAAAGAGACTCACCAGGTGGAAAATGAGCCGGAATTTTTATGAGGGCAAGGTCAGAGGGAGGGCCAAGGGGGCCAAGACAGGGCGGGCAAGGATGGCCCCTGGCCCAACCTCCTTTTTCCGCCCCCTGGGCCCTCGGGACCTCTACTGGCCAGCCGCATGTCTCGGCCAGGCTCCTGTGGAGCCAGTTTGTAGGTGGTCAGCTGAGTTCTGTGGAGCCTCTAGAAGGAGAGCAGCTCCACGCCCCGCCCCCCCCACCCCCGCTGCTTTCCCGATTTCTCAGGAGGGGTTGTCCTTGGCCAGGAAAGAGCTGGCTGTGACGCATGACTCCTCTTGGGGCCCCGGGCTGGGCGGGGCACACCTCCAGGTGCAACAGAGCAGGCTTCGCAGCTCAGAGGAGACGCTGCTGCTGAAGGAAGCGTAGATCCAGGGGTTGGTACAGCTGTTGAGGCTGGCCAGCAGCATGAGCAACACGAAGGGCGGCCCTGTGTGGGGCGGGAATCAGGGCTGGGGCTGAGGGGTCCTCAAGGTCAGTGCACCCAGGCTCAGAGGCTGAGCTGGCTGGGTTGGGGGGGTGGAGAGGGGTGAAGGTGCATGTGCACCAAGATTGGGTGGCCCCCTGCAGCCCCAGCCACCGCCACGCACCTTCCCGTGGTGCCTCCGGGTCCCACGCGGCCCACAGCTGCACAAGGAAGAAGGGCGCCCAGCACAGCACATACACTATGACGATCACNAAGGAAGAAGGGCGCCCAGCACAGCACATACACTATGACGATCACCAGAGTCATCCTCACAGTCTTGGCCACAGCCGCCGACACCCGGGCTCCCTCGGCAGGGCCGCCTGGCCGGCACCCTCGGTGGGGCCCGCCGGCCCTTGGCGCAGGTCCCGGCCCCAGGCTGGCATGAATCTCCCGGAAGATGAGCACCTGACAGGCAGCGATACCCAGGGCAGGTGCCACAAACACCATCAGGGCAATCCAGGTGACATAGGCGCGGAGGCCCCAGGGCTCGGCAAAGCGGGCCCAGCAGTCGAGGACCCCGCTGCCATCCACGTCACGCTGGGCAAAGATGAAGAGCTGGGGCAGGCTGAGGAGCAGCGAGAAGGCCCAGGCCAGCAGCACCGGCCGGTTCCAGTGAGTGCCACCCCCGTGGCGGTGTGCCAACATGGGGCGGCAGATGGCGCGGTGGCGGTCCAGCGTCATGGCCAGGATCATGTAGGAGGAGGCATACATGCCCACCATCTGCAGGTACTTGACTGCCCGGCACAGGGCATCAGGCCCACGGAAGCGGTCAGTGGCGTCCCAGGCCAGCTGGGGCAGCACTTGGAACAGAGCTACGGCCAGGTCGGCCAGGCACAGGTGGCCGATGAAGACGTGCATGGGTGCCCAGCGGCCCCGCCGGCCCCGCCGCACCAGGGCCCCCAAAACCAGGCCGTTGCTCAGGGCCACAGCCACAAAGACGGTGGAGAGCAGTGCCAGCTCTGCCTGGGCTAGCAGCGGGTCCCGGGCAGTCCACAGCTCCCCTTCACTGCCGTTGCCTGCTGCGGTAGGCTGAGAGAGGTGCCGGGGCACAGCTGGGCAGAAGTGGGGACAGAGGGCCAAGTCAGTGAGTCTATTCTGCCCATGCACTGGGCCGCTGTCACCCTGGGCCCTCTGTTTCCTTCCAGCCTCCTCTTTCCTGGCTCCTGGCCTTCCAGCACAACACACATCGTCCAACCTGCGCCCCCCAACCCGCGTCTCAAACCGCATGTGGTGGGGAGGAAAGGGCAGCCTCAGACCCCGTTGAACCAGAGGGCTGGCTCTTTCCAGTGAGGGAGGTGGGCTGAATGGGGGGCGCCCAGGGACAGGAAGCTTACCTGAGGTGGTGGATGCCAAGAACATAGTGGGGCAGGCAGGAGTCCTGAGCACCTGGGGGAGATGAGGTTGTGAGCTCAGCCTCCCACCCAAGGGGCCAGCCGTGCTGCCCAGAGTCTCTGGATAGGGGTCCTTAGAGCCTTGGCCAGGGTGGTGGGGTGGGGGTCTCGCCTGTGTGTGCAACTCTGTGTGTGTGTCTGTGAGAGTGTATGTGTGACTTGTGTGTGTGTGTGTGTGTGACTCTGTATGTGTGTGTGTTCATTCCCATGGCCAGGCCCTGGGGGGTACATCTTAGCTTAATCAACGTTGGTGAAGTCTGGCCACTGAGGCAGACACGGACCTTGGCGCCCAGGACTGGACAGGGGAAGATGGCACCAGGGGTCGTCAGACAGATGGACGAACCCAGCCTAAGACCCACCCATGAGAAGTGAGGCAGATATACAGACGCCCCCACCCCCCACCCTGACAGAGGCCCAGAGAGGGAACCGTTGGAGGGCTGGGGGCAGGGTGCGAGGGCTACTATGTCCCCCTTACCTGGCCGGACTCCCGGGCTCCTGGGCAGCTGGGCGGCAGCAGGCGTAAAGGTGGCCCCAGAGCTCAGATCCGCTTTCCATGGGCAGCCCCGCCCCAGCCAGTCCTCTGGGAGTGACCAGCTCAGGAGGGGACTTCCTCCCCGCCTCCACGAGCCTCCCTGCCTCTGGTACCGGGAAGTAGGCTCCTGGCCTTCTCTGCTTCCCTTCCCGGCCTGCCCAAGCTATCCCAGGTCCGTCCCCGGGGCCCCAGGCTGCCCCTGAGAAGACCCAAGCCCTCCTGAGCTGGGCCTGGCTACCCCCCAATGCTCCCCACACATACCACCTTATGAAAATGTCGGGTCTGCGGAGCTCTGGGCCATCCCCGAGTTCACAGTGTCTTATTTTCAAAGTGGGGCAGCTGTGACCAGAGATGCACTCTCTGTGACCAGAGATGTGTGGCTCAGCGCCACACAGCTTTCTCCTGGCAAAGCCTGACTCCCCTTCGCCGGGACAGGCTCCCCTGGCCCCTCTCCGGGCCTGGGCGAAGCGCCCGAGGCCCCTACTAGGCAGAGGGAGGGCTTGTCCCCAGCTGGTCAAGGCCCCTCCCATCCTCAATTAGGCCTCCCGGAGATGAGGGCCGGAGATGAGGTCCTGCCAGCTCCCTCCCCTGAGGCTCTGTGGGAGCCTGGACACCCCGCCCCCCCTCACAGTTACCTGTCCATCTCTGTACCCCACATCCCGTCTCCCCCTCCTTGTGCTTCCTCAGCCTCCAGGACTCCCTCCCCTCCAGCTCATCACTCCCCACCCTCGCCAACCCTCTCTTGCCACCGGCCCAGCCTCCCTCAGTCCAGGCCGGCCCAGCCCAGCCCCAGGCCACGGCCTGTGCACTGCACAGAGCCTGGCTCCAGGCTGACGTTGGCCCTGTCTTCCTGTTTGTCCGTCTTCCCTGTTGATCTGCGAGGTTAGAGACCAAAACGGCCTCTCCCAGAACAGGCTTGGGTACAGCCCAGGTCAGGCCTCCTCCTCCTAGCCGGACTCTGGCAGCACCAGTACTGGGACATTAGGACAGGGGGTCTATCCGACCTTATGCACCACACATAGCACACAGCATGCACACGTACACATCACACATAGCACACACCATATGCCACACACACCACACATGCACACACCACACACACCCCCACACACCCACACACACCACACACACCACATAGCATAAACAGTACACAGCACACATCCACACAGCACGCACACACACACACCACACAAACCACACCCACACACATCCACACCACTTACCCACACCATGCACGCACACCATACACCCACACACAGCACAACACACACATCACACAGCAGCACACGCCCACACACAGCACACACTCACACACCACACAAACCACACAACCACACCACACACCCACACCCACACACAGCATACCATACTCGCATCATGTTCAGTATTCATACAGCACACGGTACACACACACACTGCTTGTACACATGCTCTGCCTCACACCCCTGCAGTACACATGGGTATTTATAATGGTTTTTCCTATTTGGAAGTCAGTTATAGAATACCAGCGCCACACGTCTGAACACATCAGCCACACCTCCTGACAACAAGAGCGTCCTCACTTTCTGCCTGTAACCACATGAGTGTTATTAACCCAGAAGCATAGAAACAACTTTTCAGCTGCCATCTAGATCAAATAAAAAGGTAGAAAGTAGAGTTTCCAGGTAAGTTTATGGAACAGATTTTTCAAAGGAAAACTGTAAGCCACTGGGAAAAATTCACATCACATCACACTGACTCAATGGACATGAGTTTGAGCAAACCCCAGGAGAGAGTGGAGGGTAGAGGAGCCTGGCATTTTGCAGTCCTCAGGGTCACAAAGTCGGACATGACTTAGTGACTGAAACAACACCACCACCCAGTATGTCTTTCTTCTTGCCTTTTGTCCCCATGTGCCTCACAGGACCCCAGTCTCCAGGACTCCCCCATCGGCCTGGGAACCTGAGGTACCTGCTTTGCCACTCCCCCACTGTGTGACTCTGGAAGGCTGTGACCAGCTCTCTGTGACTCAGCTTGCCCCTCTGTAAAATGGGAATCCAGTGACTGAAAGTTGAGCCCTGGCTCTAGGATGGGCAGAGACCTGAGTTGGCTGGTGATGAAGTGCCAACCCCATCACCTCCTTATGGGGTTCTCTGCCCAGACCCAAATGGGACCTGGCAGGGCTGGATTCCAGCAGCGAGCTGGCACAGGGCCGGGGACCATCTTTGCTCCCTGTGTTCCTTGTTTCCTGTTGTCGAGAGTCCAGGGAAAGTCACAGGGAAGGCCCCTCCCTGTGGCTTTCTCTGGGTTCTAAGAAGCAAAGGGAGGGATTTGTGTCTACACCAAGGCCAGGGTGTAAAGCGAAGCAAGTGCTGGGGACCTCTGGAAGGGACAGAGAGACCCCAAGGCTAGTGACTGTGCCTGGAGAGAGACTCTGGCTTCCCCTGGCCCCTGAGAACCCCCCTTCACGGAACCCCGGTGCACGTGCAGGTGCTGTGCCCCTTGAGAGCCTGGGCTGAGTCCTGCTGCCTGCAGCAGAGACCTATGAGAGAGAGACGGCCCAGGAGGCCCCTGTCCCATCTACCAAGAAAGACTTAGCCATGGAGCTATGCTGATTAGCCTCAGGTGGCCTCAGGCATGGGGCAGAACTGAGTAGACACCCTCCCCACTCCCTCAAGCCCCTTTCCCAGCACAGCCCCCTCTGCCCTGCCCTGCCCAGGACTGCATTTTCAGATAGGTTCTATGTGTGGCCAAGGAGTGTGCCCTGAGCTCCCCTGGCCCAGTGTCTGAGCAGAAGGCTAAAGAAGGCTGTCCCCCAGGTACTGGGTGCCAGGGTGGAGGTCGGGGGAGCAGGACCCAGATCCTCCCTGGGGAGTGCAGTCCTGTGCCAAGTGTTGTGCAGGCAGGCAACAGGTGATGGTGGTTGTTTTTCAGTCGTTCACTTGTGTTCAACTCTTTGCGACCCCATGGACTGCAGCACACCAGGCCTCCCTGTCCATCACCAATTCCCGGAGCCTACTAAAACTCATGTCCATTGTCCATCACCAATTCCCGGAGCCTACTCAAACTCATGTCCATCGAGTCGGTGATGCCATCCAGCCATCCAACCATTTCATCTTCTGTCCTCCCTGTCTCCTCCTGTCTTCAATCTTTCCCAGCATCAGGCTCTTTTCCAATGAGTTGACTCTTTGCATCAGGTGGCCAAAGTATTGGAGCTTCAGTATCAGTCCTTCCAATGAATATTCAGAACTGATTTCCTTTAGGATTGACTGATTGGATCGTCTTGCAATCCAGGGGACTAGCAAGAGTCTTCCCCAACACCACAGTTCAGAAGCATCCATTCTTCAGCACTCAGCCTTTTTTATGGTCCAACTCTCACTTCCATATTTGACAACTGGAAAAACCATAGCTTTGGCTAGATGCACCTTTGCTGGTAAAGTGATGTCTCTGCTTTTTAATATGCTGTCTAGGTTGGTCATAGCTTTTCTTCCAAGGTGCAAGCGTCTTTTCATTTCATGGCTACAGTCACCATCTGCAGTGATTTTGGAGCCCAGCAGGAATGGAGACAAAAGGCATTTCTCAGGCCTTTGGGAAGACCCTGGAAGGCTATTTTAGGCATGAGCAAGAAAGAGGAGTCAGCCCAGGACACAAGGAAAGAGTGACAAAAAGCCTGGAGAAAAACCAGGGGAGCAGAGGTTCCCGAGGTTGGGAGGGGAGACAGGTACTGTGAGGGAAGGAAAGACAGGAGTCAAGCCGAGGGGAGGCCATACCTCGGGTCAACTGGAAAAAATGTACATCTGAAAAGTGAAGTATGTTTTATTCGGCAGACTTTTGGAGGACTGCATCCCGGGGGACCAGCCTCTCGGAAAGCTCTGAGGGACGGTCCCCAACAGGTAAGGGAGGAGCCAGGATGTATGGGAGTTTTTGCAACTAAAACCAGGTCATGGGAACATCCAAAGATTAGCATTGGCTAAAGAAAGCTAGACAACTCAAGTGACTACATCAAGTACTTTTCTGTGTGTGGTAAGATGCAGGGGTGCAGGTGATATTCTTTGTCCACACCAGACATGGAGAGAGAGCCCGTAACTGGGCATCCCTCCAGGGGCAGGCATTGCAACCCGCAGCTCCTGCCTGCCGTGGGAGGAATGTGTGATGTCCCAGCGAGTGAACCGGTATGACAGGGACAAAGCAGGGTCTGGAGGCAGGCTGAGGACACAGATACCCTGAATCCAAACATGCGCATGTGCTTTTGGGCAAGTGTGTGCTGAGACAATGGAAAGACAGGGTGACCACTCGCCTGAGGTCTGAATGAAAGTGAACAGGGATTTTGAAAGCGAGACAAGCCCTGTACGTTGGGGGAGGCCGGGCAATAGAATTTGATGGCTTAGGAGCCCTGTAGGCTCTGAGCTCTCTCCGGGTCCTGGATGAGTTTTCAAACATTAAGTCATGAGGGCTTCCCTGGTGGCTCAGGGGTAAAGAATCCATCTGCCCATGAAGGAGACATGTGTTCCATCCCTGATCCGGGAAGATCCCACATGCCTCAGAGCACTTAAGACTGTGCACCACAACTAGTGATCCCATGTTCTAGAACCCATGCTCTGCAACAAGAGAAGCCACGACGATGAGAAGCCTGTACACCCCAACTAGAGAAAAGCCCGTGCAGCAATGAAGACCCAGCACAGCTATAAATACATAAATAAATGGATAGTTTTTAAAAATTCATTAAATAATCATTTCAGTCTCACCTCTGCTGATGGGATCTTAGTTCCCTGACTAGGGATTGAACCTGCACCCTCAACACTGAAAGCACCGAGTCCTACCCACTTGATGGCCAGGGAATTCCCCAGGAATGACTGTGTAAAATCAGCTCTATTGAGGGATGATTAGCATACAGTAAAATTCACGACTTGTTTCACAAGATCTGACACAATACAGTCGTGTAAGTGAAAGTGAAAGTTGCTCATTCGCGTCTGACTCTTTGCAACCCCATGAACTTGTCCATGGAATTCTCCAGGCCAGAATA